AGGGGCAGCTCAGCCCCCCGCTCCCCCTCCCAAAACCAGGCACCCGTACAGACAAATACTTTATTGACTCCGTAGCCTGAGAACGGGATCTGGGATTTGATAGGAACCGCTGGTCCCAGTCGCAACAGCTTTAGAAGAAATTCCCTGCTTGGGGCAGTCGGCCCGAGGGAGAGGCAGCCCCCTCCGTGCCCCCCACGCTGGCTTGGGAGGCATTGCCCACCAGCAGTACCCTCACACCCGCTGACAAATGTCACTGGGATCAACTGGGGGGGGGGGGGGGCCTCCACCGGGGACAGGAAAAAGCCCTACAGGCTCTGCCAAGAGCACGGCTCACTGCCAGACCCACCGGCGCCGCGCCACCGTAAGGCATCAACCATCCCCGTATCCTCCAGGGCTCGGCAGCGGGCAGAGCCGTCGTCCCGTTGGGGACAGGGGGCCAACCTGTCTGCCACCGTCCCCTCCTCACGGCTAACGCTACAGTCCCGGCACACTGCAATGCCGGCAGACGGGAATTGAGGAGCAGCGGGGACGTCGCGTGCGTCCCCAAGGAGTAGCTCTGACACCGCTGCGCCTCCTGCGGCACAGGGGGGTGGTCGGGCACCGTTCGGTGCTGAGGATTACATCAGGACACGGCCCGGGCAGTGCCGTGATCTCCAGAGGTCCCTTCCAACCCTGACCATTCCGTGGGCATTTCCTCGGTGCCCGAAGCACGCTGCCCGCAGCAACCCCTCCCCTGCAGCCCGTCAGACCTCGTGAGTGGCCAGGAATGAAAAATCCGATAAGCAAACTGGTTCCCTACAATCCCTGCCCGGAGAGGGACAGAGACCTAAGGGATGTCAAATAATTACATCAAACAACTCAATGAAAAAACCAAAAACAAAACCAAAAAACCACACAGAAAACTAAACTCAAAAGAGTTCTAACAGCTGCTCCGTTTGGTCTGCACGGCGATGCCACCGGGACCGATTTCCCTTCTCTGCGCGCGATTCGTGCTTCCCAGCAGCGCAGGGCTCCGGCCGTGGACACGCGTGGTTCGAGTGGTTCCTGGGGCTGCCGGAGCCACGCCTGGGCTGGCGTTCGTCACTTCCCGGGCTCCAGTTACCCGCGAGCCTCTGGGCAGGTCTCACTCCGCAAGACGTTTGAGGTAGCTACCAGAATTAGTCTTCCGTGGGGGATTTAGCACACGACTAAAGGAGACCACCTGCAGTTGGGAGAGTGGGGGTTTCCTCCCGCAGCCGACACGCCTGAGCCCCGAAGAGGGTTCCTCGCGTGAAGTGCTGCTGCAGCGCAGGGGGAATCTCCCCCGTGAATTCTTTCTAAAGTGACTCTCCATCTGTGCAGGCCGGTCCTGAGGGAATTGACTCTCCTGGGTGTTTCGGGCTGCGGTGGGCTGGCCTCGTTGGGGAAGGAGCGCTGCTGGCACCTCAGAAACAGCCGCGGCACCCTCGCGTGCCGAAAATATTGGGGTTTGATTTGTTCTACGTATCTTCTAATGCAACGCTCAGGCGTTCCCAACCTGATCGAGGGGTTAGCAGGTCTCCTCCCCGGGATGGGTGATTCAGCAAGCGTGGCCAGGACGCGACGGGGTCTCGGAGACACCACGCTCTCTTCATCCGGTGTCTTGGTCAAGAAGCTTTGTCAGTGAAGCGAAGAGCTCCTTGGGAATCCCGCCTGGCTCACCCGCTTCATTCCCTTCTCTCTGTCCTCTTCACCGTGTAATCGTATGCCCAAACGCGAGGGGTCAGCTCCAGCATCAAATAGCAATCGCTGTTTGCAATTCCTCTTGCTGGGCTGCAGGAGACGTACCCGGTCATCTCCCAGGAAGGTCAGCTTGGGAAAATTTCGTGCATCAGCCAGCAGACGTGAGAGTCTTGAGGAATGGTAAAGCGTTTTGGATCACTGGAGGCTTCCGTCGTTTGCTCTCTGTGCTGGTATCCCCGCTTGTGATTCTTTCGACAATTCAGGAAAGCTCCTAAAATCCAGTGGACAGACAGTTCGCATCCCCAGTGCCCCACCGTGTGCAAAAATCAGCGCTCGCTCAGTTTCCCTCCAGCGACACAAGCAGTTTGGATCTCTCCTGCTGTCATTTCTCTGTCACCCCTGAAACCGCTGCCCTGTTTCCTAATCTAACCACAGGCTGGACGGCTCTCCCACCCCAATTGTGGCAGTTCTTGTCCGGCGGTCCGAGTTCCGCAGGACTGACCGGGACCGCGTTTGCTGGAACCGCTTTGGCTGCGGTGGCCGCAGGGCT